GACATAGACAAAGGTCCCCGCTCCGACACTGCCCCCCAGACAAGAGGAGGGAGCAGGGGGGGTTTCAGCGGCTCTAGACCCCCGTCCCGTTTGACGACAGGGACAGACTAAACAGACAGGGGCTGGGACAGACCTGAAATGAGGGATATCACCGAGGCAGATCAACAAACCGCCATTGTGAAGAAAGGTAAGAGAGTTGTTTTTTTTTTTAGGATTGTTGGACTTCGGCGGATGATTCGGGCAGTGGAGTTTTAGTTTTCATGGAGTATTTGACCATTTATTTTGACCATTTTATCCCTATATCTGTCTGTTTATTCATTTATTTATTTGGCTACCTGTTTATTTATTTATTTTGCTATCTATCTATCTCTCTCTCTCCATTTCTCTCTTCTCGATTTTATTATTCCATCGCTATTTATCTGTATTTTTCTATCTGTCTCTATCTCTGTCTATCTTTCTGTCTGTGTCTCTCTTTCTCTTTCTTCTCTCTATTTTATTATTTATGTATGTATGTATCTATCTATCTATCTATCTATCTATTTGCTATCTATCTATCTATCTATCTGTCTATTTTGCAATCTCTCTCTCTCTCTTCTTTTTTATTATCTGTCTATCTATATCTGTCTATTTCTATCTGTCTGTCTCTATGTATCTTTCTATCTGTCTCTCTCTTTCTCTTTCCTCCCTCCATTTTATTATCTATCTATCTATCTATCTATCTATCTATCTATCTATCTATCTATCTATCTATCTATCTATCTATCTATCTATCTATCTATCTATCTATCTATCTATCTATCTATCTATCTATCTATCTAGTTCTCTCTCTTTCTTCTTTGACCATTTTTTAACAATTTTATTTCTAGATTTTACAGAAAGTGTAGAATAAGTTGACTGGAGTTTTGGGACGGCCTTAACAGTTTAATTTGCTTTTTAATTTGTAAATTTGTACACCAAGTTGGTGCATAAGATCCTAATAATTTTGAGAAAATTTTGAGAAATTGTTATTATTAAAATAATAATAAAAACAAATACATTATTATTATTATTATTATTATTATTATTATTATTATTATTATTATTACTACTATATACTATAATAATATATATATATAATAATAATAATAATAATAATTATTATTATTATTATTATTATTATTTATTTTTTATTATTATTTTTTAACTAAAACAATAAATATTATGACTATTAAAAGCAGATTTATAGTGATTGCTGGGAACACATAGGAAATATGAGTTAATTCTGTAGAGCTGTGTACTTGGTATCTAATTTGAAACTCGTTCTAATTTTGAACACTGTAGTGTAGTTTATTGTTTTAAGGCATAAGAGTTGGATCATTACACTGTTATTTACCATTTAAAACATGTTGACCAGGCAAAGTGACATATGATATATTGGAAATAAATCAAAAATTGCCCAAATAGCTTAAACACAACCACAGTAGCCATACAGTGCTCTTTTTTTCATTATACAGAACTATTTGGTTTTGGTTTTGTTCCATGTTAGACCTTGTTTATGTTTATTTTAGACCATGTTTACCCTGATAGTGAAAAATACTGAATACAACCAACTGATGCTGATTGTAAATTACAAGTATCAGCCAAGCACTGACCAAGAACCTGTTTTTTGTTTTGTTATTTTTGTTGTATCCATATTTTCTCTCTCTCTTTAGGTCTCGCTCCCTCCCTCCCTCCCTCCCTCTCTCTCTCTGTCGCTCTCTTTATGTATGTAGCTATCTCGCTCTCTCTAGCACTCTCTCTCTGTCTCTCTAGCTCTGTCTCTATCTCTCTCTTCTCTCCCTCCCTCCCTCTTTCCCTCTCTTTCTCTCTCTCACTCTCTGTCTCTCTTCTGTCTATCTATCTATCTATCTATCTATCTATCTATCTTTCTTTCTTTCTTTCTTTCTTTCTTTCTTGCTCTCTTTCTCTCTCTCTCCCCCTCTTTTTCCCTCTCTTTCTTTCTCTCCCTCTCTGTCTCTCTCTACCCCCCCTCTATCTATCTATCTATCTATCTATCTATCTATCTATCTATCTATCTATCTATCTATCTATCTATCTATCTATCTATCTATCTATCTATCTATCTATCTATCTATCTATCTATCTATCTCTTTCTGTCTCTCTTTCTCTCCCTCTCTCTCTATCTATGTAGCTATCACTCTCTATCTCTCTCACTCTCTCTTTCCCTCTCTTTCTTTCTCTCACTCTCTGTCTCTCTCTACCTCTCGCTCTCTCTATTGCTCTCTTTCTCTATCTCTCTCTCTCTTCTCTCCTCCTCTTTTTCCCTCTGTTTCTCTCTCTCACTCTCTGTCTCTCTCTCTCTTTCTCCCGCCGCTCTTCCTTTCTCTCCCTCTCTGTCTCTCTCTACCCCCCCTCTCTATCTACCTATCTATCTATCTCTTTCTGTCTCTCTTTCTCTCCCTCTCTCTCTATCTATGTAGCTATCACTCTCTATCTCTCTCACTCTCTCGTTCCCTCTCTTTCTTTCTCTCACTCTCTGTCTCCCTCTATCTATCGCTCTCTCTGTCTCTCTCTCTCAGTCTAATTGTGTGTTTCCCTGTAAACCGTGCCTCCCCCTCTCCTCTCCTCCTCTCCTCCTCTCCTCTCCCTCCTCCCTCCTCCCTCCTCCCTCCGTCCTGCAGCTGTGATGGTCGAGATATTTATATGAATGAGATAATAAAACAGCTCAGGTGGCTCCGGGCTAATGGAGCTGGTGATCTCAGCTTCCTGGTGCGAGTGACTTAACTTTGAGATCAGCAGGAATTCTTTGTTGTAATCCCCCCTACCGCCCCTAAACACACACACACACACACACACACACACACACACACACACACACACACACACACACACACACACACACTGCTGTCCGTCAAACCCACTCTCAGATGAACCTGCAAAATTCACAAAAATATCACTCTAGTTTTATTACTTTTTCTATTAAATGATGTCGCTTGGTTTTGTTTTTCATAGTGTAGTCAAAGTTTTCATTACACATTTGCCTGTTTCTAAACCACAGGTGTCAAACATAAGGCCCGGGGGCCAGATCCGGCCCTCCAAGACCTTTAATGTGGCCCTTGGGTGATTTTCTACTAAAATATTTTAATTATATTTTCTATTAAAATATTGGTAATTTTCTGTGGTGCTTGGCATATCAGCGTCTCCAGTGTCTCTGTACGTGGCCCCTCCCACCAGAGCAGCACAAATGAAGACTTGTCTCTTTCCAAACGCTCTTAAAGGACGATCGTTTTGACTGTTGACCGTGACACCCTCATCAGAAAAATGTCAAAAATGAGAAAAGGTGGATACAGAATGCAGGATTTTCCAAGAAAAATTGACTTATTCCTGTTTGCATACAAGTTCATGTTAAAACATTGTGTTGAAATTGAATTTTTCTTAAAGTTTCAGGTTGTTCATAATATTATAATATTATAATAAGAAAGAGTTCATCAATTAAATAAGATTTGTGTAATAGATTTGCTTTTCTCTGCACAAATATTGTTATTTTTGGGGTTTATATGACATGAGTTTTCTGATCCGGCCCCTTTGGGATCAAAGTAGGTTGGATACGGCCCCCGGACCAAAATGAGTTTGACACCCCTGTTCTAAACTGTAAAAGAGAATATCTTGAATCTAAATCAAAAAACAAAACAAGAATGTAATGCCCAGTCACAATCATACACTTCCATATTCATTTTTAGAGAGCTGTATTAATTGTTCTATGTTAATATGAATGACTAATGTGAAGTTTTTCTCAACATAATAGTTTTACTGACAAAAACCAAAACAAATAGTAAACAAAAAAGTAATTACTGAAAACTAAAATATCCACATCCACACATTCAACACAATGATTTTATGAAAATATTGTAATTTTTTGGTAACTGGGCTTGTACAAGTGTTGTGCTATTGGCATTATTTATTCAGTTTCAGCGTCCTGTTCACAATATGCAACATTTTGAGAACATTTTGAGGATAATATTTGTGTAAAAATGTTAATTGCTAAGGCAGCGGTCCTAAATTTTGCCAAGTTAAAGTGCACTGTGTCTTCTTTCTCCATGGAAATGTGATTGCTTTGTCTGGAATGTTTCACAGTATGGCATTAAACCTTTCTATTGTCATTGAAACCAAACCAGATTAAGTTACAGGAACGCATATTTTTCTAGGTATTTTTGAGCTATAAAGCCACCTGTAATTGAATAAATGTAAAGCAGAGGTGTTTAAAGTCATACTGTGGAACATTTCAGAGCAATGACATACTCATAGAAACATGCAGGAGACGGACCCACAACCAAAAAGTTTCATAACAAACCTGTAAAATATTGTGTGATGTTTTGAGACTCTGATTTGTAAAAAATAATACCGTATCTTTTGGACTATAAGGCGCACCAGATTATAAGGGGCAATATCAATAATGTTGAATTCTCTCATCTATTTTCATACATAAGACACTGGATTATAAGGTGCATTAAGTTAAACAAATGGACGACACTTGAGTCTGATCCCTGAGCCCAGGTGTCCACGATCCATTGGCAGATCATGGCGTAATTCGCCCGCCGTTGCCTCTCTGTCTTGGTGAATGTGTGTGATGAATGTGAATGTGGGTGGATAATTTAAGTTTGTTTTTTTTCCCTACAAGGACGACTCAAATATACATTGAGTAATAATGTGTTTAATGCAGTTTTGTGCACTTTTGTTTACATTTTACAGAGACAAAACTTAAAACCACATGGCAAATTTGCATAAACTATAAGTGCTGGAAAAAAAAACAGCAATTTTGACAGATTTTTGAGGGCCATGTACCACATAAAACTGGTTCGAGGTCAGTAAGCACAACCAGAATTAATACATAAGGCACACTGGATTATATGGAGCACTGTCAATTTTTGAGAAACTTAAAGCAGTGCGCCTTATAGTCCGAAAAATACCGTAATACATATTGTGAATTCAGAATCTAACTGTATTATTCCTTGTTTTTCCAGAGCTGCAGCGTGGGGAGAGTCAGGTGGAGAAACAAGTGAAAGAAGCTCGCACTAAATGCCGCTCCATCGCCTCGCTACTGACGGACGCCCCAAACCCCAACTCTAAGGGGGTGCTTATGTTCAAGAAGCGCCGACAGAGGGCCAAGAAGTACACACTCACCTGTTTCGGCAAAGCACCTGAAGACAAAGGATCAGAGACAGAGGGCGAGACCGAAGAAGAAGGAGGAAGTTCGATTTTGAGTGGATCTGAAGTTGACGAAGAAGGTTTCTCCGCATCGTATGACCCAACTTGGGACAGTGGATACTTGGATTTGCTAGAAAGACGAAGCTCTGCCTGTCCGTCAACCACGCCGACAACTCCAACGTCCAATCATAACCTCGCGCTGGACTTCTCGACCAATCAGACGCCACCGTTTGGATTTTCAGCTTCGGCCAATCAAAGCCCCAAGTTAGAAGCGGTCTCAGGTCTTGACACATTGGCTTATCAGGATTCAAAGCTGGAGAACGGAATAGCGAAGCAACCAATCAACTCGAGTTATATTCCGATGTCTCCGCCAGCCATGCCGTTAGCCAATGGCGGAGCGGTGGAGGTTAGCCGTGCCAGCGTCATTCTAACTCCGCCGTCGCAGAACCCAATCTCGAGCCAAAATACACAACAAGATAATCCTAGCTATGATCTGAACACAACTTTTAGCTCCAGCGCTAGTGGCAATGTTCTAAATCGTACCGCTCGCCCGTTTACCCCTGGACCCAGCGCCCAGTCTCGCCCGTCGGTAACCTCTGTAATGTTTCGTCCTCCTCAACCTAAACCGATATCTGCCCCCGCCGCACCCGTCACCGCAGTTTCGATGATGACTCTTTCGCCGCCAAGGCCGTCCGATTCAAAACGAGCGGTATCGAGCACCTCCTTGTACATCCCCGCAAGAAACGCCAACGGAAATTCGTCTGAGATTTCTTCGGTTCATTCTCCGCCGTCTTCTCTGTCTTCTGCAACTACGATCTCCCAGCCGGCTCTGAATCACGCAACGTTTTCGCCGCAATCAATAAATCCTCCGACTTTTAATCCTCAAATTCCACAACAGCTAACGTCTCCGGTGACTTCAAATTATCCGAGCAGTGTTCCTCCAATGCCCCAACCGTTTTCGCCACAAACTGCTAATTATCCACCACCTTTCAGTCCTCAAAGTTCTCAACAATTTGCATCTCCAGGAACTCCGAACTATCAATATCCAAGCAATGTTCCTCCGATTTCTCAACCCTACTCTCCACAAGCTGCTAATTTTACACCACCTTCAGTGAATCCTGCGTACAACTCTCCGACTACTCAACACCAAACTGGTCCGGGAACTCCCAATTCTCAATACGCAAGCAATGCTCCTCCTTTACCTCAACCGTACATACCTGAAGTTCCCCAAAAGCCACTACAGCCTCCTCCACCTACCCCTGTCAACTCATATTTCAACACTCAAGTGCCAATGGCTTCTAGCAATGTTCAGCCAACTACTCAAGCCCCAAGCAACGATTCTCTTGCGTCTCGTGAGCAGAGGATTTCAGTGCCAGCCGCCCGTACGGGTATCCTTTCCGAAGCTCGAAGACGTAGCCAAAAGAAGCCGATGTTCAGCGCTCTGCAAAGCAAAGACGTCAACCCGAATCCGGACTTGCTTTCGATTATTCAAAACATGGATGATCGCTACGGCAAAGGTTCAACTAACGAAGCAAACAGCGGAGTTTCTATGCCTGAAGCGGGGCACGAATCTGGACCTGAAGAAGACTGGTTGAGATTGGGCGCTGAAGCGTGTAACTTCATGCAAGCTCAACGCCAACCGAAGCCACCGCCTGTTGCGCCAAAACCTAAAGGATCGATGGTTCCTAACGCGCAAGAACCATCCCAAACGCCCCAGATGCCCGTTCTCGGAGGTAAAGGCGGTCAACTCTTCGCCAAACGACAAAACAGAATGGATCGCTATGTTGTGGAAAGATCTCCGTCCGTTGCGGCAATGCCATATTCACCAGCGCAAACCAGAGAACCGTCACCTACGCCTTCTCTTCCCGCAACCTGGAAATATTCGTCAAACATTCGCGCTCCACCTCCGATCAATTACAATCCGCTTTTGTCGCCGTCTTGCCCGTTGGTCGCGCAAAAGAAGCAAGAACAACCCAAGTCTAGTTCAGCCAAGACCAAGAAACCAAAACCGAAACCTGTTGATCTCATGAACCATCAGCCGTACCAGCTAAACTCCACTTTGTTCAGCTACGGTGGAGGCGCAAACCAAGATATTCCCAATTCACAAAATGCTACACCTGGAAAAGTCCACAAAACGGCGAAGGTTATCGAAATTAAGCGCTTCTCGACTCCGCCTCCGACTACAACAGGTCCAGCTTTGAAAGTTATCGCCCCGAGATCGGCTACCACTCTTGGGCAACCGATGTGGCAGTCTGGCATAGCATCTCCACCACTTCAAGCGAACGCGGCAAACACTACGCCTTATCCAGGTCAATACCAGCAACCGCAATGGAACTCTGGCCCTCTATCCCCTCCACCGCCTGCTCCAAATGCCCCACTGCCCCAGCTGCCAACATTTTCCTCTCCGCTGAAGACAAATCAAGCTCCCGGATCCGCGCAGGGCAACAGGCAATTCAAAAGTGTTCCAGATTTGAGCCCCATGAGTCCAACCGGGTCTTCCTCGCAAACCAACCCCCAGTTCCAGGTCCCGCGGCCAAGGTTCAGCACCTCAAACCTGGGACTGCAGCCGAGCGTGTGGAGGCCCGGCTCCACTCTGTACTGAAAAAGTTTTTAATAGTATTTCTAATGGGATTCTCAGCTCTCATACATATTAGATCTTTTAGAGTGTTCTAGTATTTACGGGTTTCAGAATGATGGGAAATGTGGGAGTGTTGCCGTAGACTTTAACAATAAAACAAATCCCATGTTTTGAATGATGAAAAGTTCTCAAAATGTTGACTATGACATGAAGCTGAAACCCATAAATAGATTGTAATGTGGGCTTTAAAGCTACCACGTGTAAGTTTATTTTTCTCTGGTCTTCCAAAGCAATTAACAATTTAGAACAAAATATCATCTCTTATGAATAGTAAAAATTCCTCAAAATGTTTCCTTTGTGACAGGAAGCTGAAACTCAGACACCATCTCACCATCCTCAAACCTAAATCAAAACAAGCAAAGAAAACAATACGGGTAGCCAGGTCAGGTCCAGAGGTTTGTCCATTATGGCCCTTAATGATTCTGCTAATATGATTCCACACTCGCAAGTTCAATAGGCCGAGCTACAAACAGAAAACTGTAAACAAGTAGATGAATTTCAGTGTAGTTAGCTGCTCCCTTCAGGCAGATATAAAGAAGTGTCCACCAGTGTCTGACCAGAACTGAAGAAGCAGCTTGGATGAGCTGTTTGTATTCGACCAAATAAACTTTTGTCAAGTTGACAAATTGAATTTCTCCTTTTGCCATAAGCAGCAGAAGTTTATTTACCATCAATAATGCGGGCCTGGGAGGATTTCAAAAGTCCACATAGCATGAAATTGTAAGAGAATTTAAGTCATTTATCCTCTGCGTACATCTCTCAGTTTAACACTGACTCACAGGAGCTATACTAACATGATCATCTTCCCTTGGCATACCAGTGGCATACCACTCTGGTATGTTGCTGACTAACTGGTGCCTACTGGCCTTCATAGTCTGACCACACTTGCTTTTTTGGAAGCAGAGTCAAGGGAAGACGATCATGTTACTATAACTCCTGTGAGTCAATGTTAAACTGATGCACATACATGAGATGTATGTGGAGGGTAATCCATCCATCCATTTTCTTCCACTTATCTGGGACCGGGTCGAGGGAGCAGCAGTCTAAGCAGGGACTCCCAGACTTCCTTCACCCCGGACACTTCCTCTAGCTCCTCTGGGGGGACTCCAAGGCGTTCCCAGGCCAACCCAGAGACATAGTCCCTCCCGTGTGTCCTGGGTCTTCCCCGGGGCCTCCTTCCAGTGGGACATGCCCACAACACCTCCCGAGAAAGGCGCCCAGGAGGCATCCTCAGCTGGTTACTCTTGATGTGGAGGAGCAGCGGCTCTACTCCGAGCTCCTCCCGTGTGACTGAGCTCCTCACCCAATCTCTAAGGGAGCACCCAGTCACCCTGCGGAGGGGAGGATAGAGCGTGAGATTGACAGGCGGATCGGTGCAGCGTCGGCAGTGATGTGGTCGCTGTATCGGACCGTTGTGGTGAAGAGGGAAAGGCAAAGCTCTCGATTTAGTTTGCTCAGTCTATGTTTTTACCCTCACCTATGGTCATGAGCTTTGGGCAATGACCGAAAGCACAAGATTGTGGATAGAAGTGGTCGAAATGAGTTTTATGGAGGATAAATTACTTAAATTCTCTTACAGCTAGGTAAGGGGAGAAAAGGATTCACATCTGTCATCTACTGGTGAAAAAAACATCTAATAAAGTTACAGATGGTAGCTTTAATGCCACAAAAGGTTTTAGAACAATGGTATTTATCCTTCTTAAATGAGGGTTTAGGTGTTCTGAGTTATTGTTTGTTTAGTTTACCAGATGTATTCAAGACTATAGTTCACTCTTTTAAAAACATAGAAATGGTTTTAATTAGAAAAAAACAATATATAGACTATGTTGTTTTGAAAATGCATCTACACAGTTTGACTCATCATCACATGCAAACCTTGTAGTGTTTTAATTGATGTATTTTATGTGTCATTTTTCACAATTTAAGGGAACATTGTGTGAAGAGTCGATCTAAAATGGAAGTTAAAGGTGCTTGGTGGAACAGTGAGCTGTGAACTTGGGCTTTTTCTTCAACCAAATTTTAATTCTGCAATACTAGTAATTTATTCAGAGTAAAAAAAGATAATACTTTTGTAGTTCAAGTCAAGTTATAGTCTAAAAATTTGCTCTGTTAATATAATGACAATTTATTTTTCTTTTTAGATTTTTTTTCTTTCTTTTTTCCTTCTTGCTGTTAATTTTATATATTTTTTTCTTTTTTTTACATTTAATTTAATTTATTTTCTTTATCGCTATGATAATTTCTTTTTTTTTTTTTTCGTTTAAATTTTATTTTTTTTTTTTTTTACAATTTAGTGCCATAGATGACTTCTACAAAGCACCTTTAACAAAACCAAAAGGGCATTGAAATGATTCATAAGAAATTGTTGCGATCCTGGAAAGTAAATGTAAATATTGTACCGCAGATGAAGTTAGGACCGAGAATGAAACGAGAATGTTGTTTTAAAGAGGACGAGAGAGAGAAAGAGAAACACAGACTGTCTCAAGAGAAAAGTGACATTTGAAGGTTTCATGTCACTCACTTCTGTTTTATCATTTTTTGTTTTTGGCAGTGTTTTTTTTTTTTTTTTTTTTTTGGACAGCACAATGTACACTATGTTGTAACATGTTTTCAAAACTCATAAAGAGAAAATGCTGAAATATTTGTACTTTTTATTGTAAACTGTGGCCTTAAACTACAATCAGTTTTTTTAAATGAATCCCTTATTTATTCTTCTAACAAATTCAATTAAAAGGTGTAAAATAGGAATTTAACCACCTGCTTGTCTCCATGGCGATGTGTTGCTTTGCCTGGAATGTTCCACAGTATGATATTAAACGCATATGTCTGCAGAGAGACCAAGTTACAGGTCAAATCTGCGGAGAGGTGATCCCCCTCAGTGCTCACAGTTTCACACGTTGTTGTTTACAAGAATAAAAACAAGACTGATAAGTTTAATGCCAAAAAGTGGAGCATAAAAGCAAAAAAGTTACATAGTGGACCTTTAAAATTAGACTAAATGTAAGTGATTTGAATTTAATTAAACAGAATATTAACAAATACTATTAAATGTAATGCAAAATCTTTCTTTAAAACCTTTTTTGATTAAGTTATTTGGCCACTTGCGTGTGTTGTTTTATGTATTTTTTTCCTTTTTCTGTCTAAAATTTGTAATGTTCAGATGAAGATATTTATAGTAGTTTTGATGTTTGTTTGCAAGCTACAGTTTGTTAGTAACTGTTTTCCTCCACTGACACAAGCTGCTCAATAAAAATCGACCTGTTTCACGTGGGCTGGTAGTGTGTGTGTCTGTGTGAGATCGGCCACAACTACAACTGTAATCTACACATGAAAACGTAAATGTAAAAGCGATTACATTACACAAAATTGACTCTTGTGAGGTTTACGTCATGTTATAATGTTGTTTTTTCATCACAAACAGACCTGGAGGTGTGTTTAGTTTCTTTCACATGTTCGAGTAATCCTTTATTATTAGTCTGTCTACATCTCCAAAGCTCAAAATGCTCTGTTCCACCTTGTGATGTCATGAACCTGTAGTTTTCACAGCTATATCTTTATTTTTTTTCTTCAGTAGCGATCGGCAGTTTCACAGCTGAAATTATCCAAATGGTTTTAATGATGGTGTATGCCAGGGGTGTCCACACTTTTTTAATCAAGGGCCACATTTCTAAACACAGACGAAGCAGAGGGCTGATCGACGGCTGTAGACTGGAGCTCAGTGCAGTGAATAATTAAAATATGTGCATGTTTAACACGTTAGAATGAGGCATGAGTCTTTATTCATGTTAAAATCCTTAAAACCACACACTAAATATCAAATATTAGCTTTATCAAGGTAGATTTTCAAAAAAAACTTGCAATAAAAAGTTAATTTTTAATTGATGCAAGGGCATTTGGGTCAATTCACCTGGAAACCCGAGGGCCAAGAAAAATTTGTCTGAAGGCCACATTTGGATTGTAAGAGATTTTTTTTTCACCTTGTCACGATGGTAAATGGTCACATTTTTCTATAGTGCGTTTCCACCTTCAAGGCACTTCAAAGCGCTTTACAACAAGGAACCACTCACCCATTCACACGCACATTCACACACCAGTGTACGCAGACACTGTGGGCAAGGTGGGTTAAGTGTCTTGCCCAAGGACACAACGACATCATCCATCTGTAGGAGCTGGAATCACACCAGCCAACCTGTGGGTCAGTGGATCTGAATCAAACCGCCAACCTTCAGATCAGTGGGCGAATGCTCTACCAACTGAGCTACTGCCGCATGTAGGTCTGCAATATACTGTTCTGACAGATGAGGGCGCTAGTGAGTCTGCGAATCCTATCTGCCTGCCCTGAGCAAGAGTTTCTGCAGCTGAAGTTGAGAAATGCTGCTTGGTCGTCCAAAAAGAAGTTTGATAAATCGGCAAAGGTCTGTGCACTTCAGGATACTTGTTGATGGATTCCTTTTATTGTTGCTTCAATGACTGTTTTTTATTGTTTAAAACTTGAGTAATACTAATTTTTCACTCAGTCAACAATAAAATATCCTCATTAATGTTCAATAATGGTCAAATCCACCTTTATTTTGTGATTTACGAATGTTTATGACTTTTAAAATATAAAAATAAATTATAAAAATATTTAAAAACACAACTCCAGGTCTGTATGTGATGAGAAAACAACATTATAACATAGATCAGAAAATATGGAGCCATTTAATTATTTAATAGTATTTAATTCTGTATTTATTCACATTATGAGTTCAAAATATCATGTGTATTAGATTGTTTTGTTGGCAAAGCTTGCAGGAAAACTGTGTTACCATTCCTTACCACTTGGGGGTGCTACAGACCTTCCAAATTAAAGAGTTGTACAGTTATATGAGGTGTTATCAGGGTGGTTTTGACGTTCTTAGACAGTTCAGGTTGGGGTCAATTTGCAAAGTGACAGTTTCAGTCAAGTTAATTAAAGGAGCATTGTGTAACTTTTGTGGTGCAAGGTACAACACCAGCTTGTCTCCGGGGAGATGGTACGGCTTTTCTTTTGCAATATAGCTTGAAACTTCACCATAGAGACAGGAGATGACGCCACCAGGCCAAGTTACAGGTCAGATCTGTGGAGAGGCAATCCCACTCGCAGAAAGATTGCATGATGTTTATGTGGGGGTTTTTGGCAATAAAACACCTACAATAGACTCTTTAAGCCATTACCTCGTCAAAAACAGACCTGAAGTTGTGTTTTGTTTCATTCACACATGTTTGAGTTTCCCTTTATTATTATTATTCCACCTTGTGATGTCATGAATCCATAGTTTTCACGTTAACAGCTACATTTTACCTTTAGTTCAGTAGAAATTGGCAATTCCAGGGCTGAAATCATCCAAATAATTCTAGTGAATGTGTAAGGAGTTTAAAAACACAGCGGAACACTTCCTGTATCACCACATGACATCACAAGGTGGAACAGTATTTTCAGCTTGAGAGAAGAGCTCAGCCTAAATATGAAGGATTTGTGATTGAAACATGTGTGAATGAAACAAAACACAACTCCAGGTCTGGTTGTGACGAGGAGACAACATTATAACAGATCAGAAAATAATTAAGTAATACAGGCCCTTTAATAAAACTATGATATATATGTTCAAAGGCATTCTGTGGAACATTCCAGCATCTTCGTGGAGACAAGCAGGTGGCTGACCCTCCCCCAGAAAGGTCACATAGTGCACATTTAAACCAGGACATGAGAGGTAGATTTACTCTTAGGTAATCTATGCCATTGTTTCCCAAAGACTGGGTCGTGACCCTCAGGTGGGTGGCAAGAGATTTTTTTGTGTCACCTTGTCACGATTTGAATGTCGGTCTGAAATATACAGTTCTGACACTTGAGGCCCAGCTATGTCGTTAGAAAAGCTGAAATGTTAAGACATGTTTGGTATAATTTCTAGTATTTTTGTGATTATTTTATTGACGATTTTGTTTCAATATTGCTGGTTCAATTGGATTTTGAAAAGAAAAAGAAATAAGCCAAATTTAAAGTCCAAATAGGCGACTTATGGATCGTTTTATTGCTGCTTCAATGACTGTTTTTCATTGTTTAAAACTTGAGTAATACTAATTGTTCAGAGACACGATCACTCAGTCAAGAATAAAATATCCTCATTAATGTTCAATAATGGTCAAATCCACCTTTATTTTGTGATTTACAAATAATGTCTATTGACTTGGGTTGTGAAGGTTTGTGACTTTTAAAATATGGGTCCCCAGAAAAAAAGTTTGGGAAACACGGATGTACAGTATTGAAGAATTGGCCTTTTAATTTTTCAACCACACTCTGTTTTAATCTGTTATATTTGTTTAGACCTGCTATAGGCTAAGTAGTCAAACAGTTCTGACGTAGTTTCAAAGTATGTTCTCCCCTAATTGGTACAAGTGTCGCCCTGGTTTAGTCTGTGGAAACATACTCACCTGTCAATCATCTTGTAAAGTGGGTGTGGCTTAACTGGGAAAAGAAGATGACATATTTTTAAAGATCCTGTGTTACGCAAAATAGACTCCTGTGAGCTTTAAGTCACGTTAAAATGCTGTTACCTCATCAAAAACATAACCTGGAGTTGTGTTTTGTTTCATACATGTTTTAGTAACTTTTTATTATTAGTCTGTCTGCATGTCCAACGCTCAAAATGCTCTGTTCCACCTTGTGAAGTTAACAACTACCTTTTATCTTACGTTGGGTAGAGATTACAAATTCCACGGCTGAAAACATCCAAATGATTCTAGTGAAGGTGTGTGGAGTTTAAAAACACAGTGGAGCACTTCCTGTATTACATGACCTCACAAGGTGAAACAGAGTGAACCAGAGGTGGGACCAAGTCGTCGTTTTGCAAGTTTCAAGTAAGTCTCAAGTCTTTGAACTCAAGTCTGAGTCAAGTCCCAAGTCAAATACAGGCAAGTCCAAGTCAAGTCTCTAGTCACTGGCCCATAAGTCCAAGTCAAGTCCAAGTCGTCTGCTTTGAGCTTCAAGTCATTGCAAGTCTTTAAACTAAATAAGTACCAAATATGGCTTAGATTTTTGCAATTTATATGATTTTTTTTAAATAAGTTGTACTTA